CTAGTGAATTTTATTCCTTTGAAGATGTTGATAGTTTCATGTGTTTTTTTTAGTTGTTTCTTTTTTTTTATAACAAAGGTGTCATCTACATACCGGATCCATACTTTAGGTTGTATGTGTGGAAGTGCTATAGTTTCTAGGTGTTGCATTACAGTCTCTGCTATGAGTCCTGAGTGGTGATCCCATGGGTGTACCTCTGATTTGTTGGTATATTTGTCCTCTGCAGCTTCCACCTTTTCCCCAAACTTGAAGACTCAAATGAAGAGGTAAAAAGGACTATTAGAACTGTCAAATTATTTTGTGACAGCTTTAAGAAGCTTGTCCATCATTGGCAAAAGTATGTAGTCAATGGTGGTGATTATATGGAGAACAAAATACAGGTAACAAAATAGCTCTTTTCAACCATTATTTTTTTGTTTCATTTATTAACATATCACTATTTAAACTAAAGTTATGGAGGTAGGGGCATTAGTTTTCATTCAACCCTCATATAAGGTCATTACTTATTGGTAGTTCTATTTTTAAAGATTTTTCCAATTATCCTCAGTGGACAATTGTCCTTTACACAGGAATCACAGAGCTACTCCAGCATGCATCACTTTATATTTTCTTACATAGAATTGCATTTCTCATTTTAAAGCAGCTCATCCAGTTTAGAGAAATTATTTCACCACTCTACAATACATAACAGGATGCTATTAAGGAACTGCTATTTTTGTTTCAAGGGATTTTGTTAAAAGTTCAAGTGAACGCTGTCTACTGGATTCTTCCATCCATATATTTATTGGTATTCTTAAGGAAGTTGTAAAACTGGACTTACATTTGCAAGAGCTGTTTCATATCTTCTTCTGCAAGATTTGTGTGTTTGTTTTTCCTTGTTCCAGTTTGCCTGGAACATATATTAAGTTAAATGTTTAATGCCCACCATTTCCTGGATCCTCCTACCTTGGATACATTTTTAAAAACTTACTGTTGCCAGCTTTAACATTTTCAGGTCAAGTACTGAAGAGGGTGTGTACAGGGGAAGATGCCAGGGTGATTACAATTAATAAAAGTTTATTGATAATGTCCCAATACTTACAGCATGAGAGATCCTACCCCAATTGGCTGTGGTGAGCCCAGGTAGCGGTAAGGGAGGGAGG